TTTTTTTTTAAATTTTATTATACAGTTTAGTTTTGAGTAAGAATTTAAGGATTTGCGTGGTGGTGTCTGCATTTGGTCCGAGTTTTGCGTCTGTACTATTGTCTGTTAGTATATTTCAATAATAGATGTTCGTCACAATACTCTAAGGACTACCTAATTTTATTATATTGTTAGTCACCGGAACAAATTTAACCGGAAACCTAAAATCTAATAGATTGATCTGGTCATAGGTTTATAAAATATAATATTTAAATATGAAGAATAAATATCTCATGGAATTATTGAACTGTTCCAAGTTCTAACTGCAGATAATAGATAAACAATGACAGCTGGTAGGTAAAAATAAATTTCAATATTGATCTCTCAATGGGCTCCAACTAAATACAATTTCGTATCATAAATCACCCTTGTTGCTTAGAATTGAAGATTGAATCATTTTTTTATTATAAAACTTGTACCTACGCATACACAAAAAAACACAAGTCATTGTAAGTCAATACATCCATTATTTTACTAAGATTCTAAAAGACTTAACCTTGAAGTATAAAATAAGCACTGCAGGTTTGCAGTGTATAATACTAATCGAAACACAAATCCTTGTTCAAATATTATAGTTTAATATATTATAACTACGGGTATATATTATTGAAAAAATAAACGGGCCGAAAATCTTAACGATTTTTGATTAGAAAAAACGACTTCGCAACGACCATACTAGCGTCGTTGTGTACCCGTTGTCTGGAAAATGTTTGAATTTTTCGAGTAAACTGATTTTGAATTGAACTTCGAGTTCACTTGCAATTAAACGTCTGACCTGAAACAACCAAAAAGAAAAATGGCCACTAGTGACTTTGCTCGAGAAATCACCGTGATGAATGTAGTCGAACGCGTTGAAACATGGGTAATGCCAGTGGAAGACGAAGAACGAACGCTTGAAATTAAAGACTTAGAACAAAAACTAGATGACGACGAGGACGAAGACAATATATTAGTATATATACTAGGCGATATAATTTGGTTGTTTAGTGAAAATGATACTGTCGAATACACTGTTGAGGTAGGCAGCGGAGACGCTGCAGCAGTAGTCCCGACGCACTCTGAGAAGCTCGGACCAGCCGAGCAGGGACAAGGACTACAGCAGGCTGAAGACCTGCAAGTGCCAGTACAACATCAAAAAGCAGACCTTATTCCATCTGCAGGAGAAACGGACACGACTATGCTAGACGGAGAGAACGGACCAGATACGACCATCAGTGCAGTATTACCGAGGAAAAATCCACGTGGTAGGACTATAAGGCGGTTGTGCGCCGCCACGTGGAAAGGCGCGAAGCGCGTACTGCTCTGAGGTTGTTTCCGGAGGTCGTGAAGCCAGCGGCATAGAAACCCCCCCCAGATGAAGACACCAGGACAAGACGGCGGCGACGGGGGAGTGGTACGTGAAAGAGCACTGTACGGTGCCCTGCGGTAAGTCACCCTATACGTTTTCCGGCCACCCGCAGAAACACGAGATCGCTGTCGCCAGCGTCGCGAGCTCGTGCGAGACCATCAAGACGCATCGGCGAGGGCCCGACTGCTTCGGTCACACCAGGAGCCGATGGACGACGACGACGGCGGTGGCTAGCTGTACCGGCGCGGGCAACGATACCGCCCCGACGGTACCACTCGACGATGGCAGTGTGCACGAAGGCGACTCGCAAAGGCGACGGCGGCGGAGACTGCAAAACACAACGGCGGGCGAGCGGATACAGCTGCAGAGCTAGGAACACGGAAGTCAGCATCGCCGGACTCGTGGAAACGGATAACGTTTCAGGGTTCGGCGATGTGCGACTCCAGGACTCGGTCGAGTCAGGGCGAAAATCGCTTGGAGAGGATCAGGACCTTTGCGGCGTGCTTTGCTGTGAGGTCCGACGATCCTTTCCCTGCGTTTTCGCTCAGTGGCAATCGGTCGGGTCACGTCTCCGGTCGCCGGCCGATTCCGTAGCGCCGACGCAACTGCTTCTCCTCAGTCCTCGCTCAGTTTTTTAGGTTACCGTCGTCGTCGCCACGCGTCGGTCGTCTTCAGTACCTGCGCATCGTCGATGCGCACAACATCGCGCACTAGCCGCTCGCCGTCAAATCGTCTCATCGCTCCCGTGGCCGTCGTGGTCGGGACTTCACCAGCCGTCGTGATGGTCGTCACCCGCGAGCAAACGCACTGGCGACTGCAGGATGTCCCTGCGGGATGTGCCGCGAAAACGTATAGAGGTGACCAGTATCCAGCATATTGCTTTATGCACCTCGCCATCACGTATCGCTCCCCCCTGCTTATTGTGTCTTGTCTGGTGTTCCCCCCCATAAGGCCACTTTGAGCCAATTATACATCAAAAATCATATAAAATTACAAAAAAAATAAGAAGATATAAAAAAAAAAAAAGGTGGGTAAGTGGGTGTCGCTCTGCTGTACAGTAGGTTACAAGTGGGTCACTGTATGATGGATGATATTAAATTTGAATTCAACGATATAATATCATTGTATAAGAAAAACGATTCTGAGCGGAGACGGTATATCAGTCTAGGTATAAGACATATTATATACATATCTATGGTACTAAATCAAAATTTGACCTATAATAAGTACCTATAATGAATTCAAAATTAATCATTTCACAATATCCATTAGGTAATTATAACGCGTTATACACCAACAACAAACCCTGATACTATCATAGATATATAGTAGTATACTTTAGAAGTTTCAAGTACCCACGAAAAATATTATACAATCACAACAAAATAACTAAAATAGTTATTCTAGGTTTTTTACTATGTAATTTCGTCCAAATATGAATTTAAAATGTCTGTAAAAAATAACTGTGCTCATATATTTTTTAGATTTTTTGGCTACAGTATGAACTATTTATGAGAACCTTTTTTTTTTAAATTTTCAATCCTTAGCTATAAAAACTGAACATTTTATAATTTATTAATTACGATGATTGATAATTTTCGATATTTTGATAAATTTTGTCAAAATACAATATCTTTAAATGCTTATAAAAAAAAATTGTGCCTATGTATTTTTAATATTTTTCAATTGCTATTGTAACAATATATCAGGAGCCTTGTGTTAAATTTTTACACTTTTTGGCCCAACAGATAAAACTTTATTGATATTTATAGAAAAAAAAAACTAAAAAAATTGAAAACTGAAAATGTCCGTAAACGGCTCAAAAATAGTCAAAATATTTTCAAAATTGTATGGTGTTGGTGTATAGGAAATGCTAATATAAACATTTAGTGAAATTTTCATGTATCTACACAAATTCGTTTTTGAATTACAACAAAATAAGGAAATCGCCACATGAGAAATCGAGTGAATATCCAATGTTGTAAAAATTTGAATTTCAAACGCTCATAAAAATTTAATTTGACTTTCTTATAGAATTTTTTTTTGATAAATGTAGAAAATCTTATAAGGAATCTTGTATTACATTTTCATATCTTAGATTTAAAAAGAAAAATTTTTATGAATTTCTAACTCGAAATAATTTGCAAATTTTCGTGATTTACAGTTCAAAATAAATCAAAATATTTTGAAAATGTTATCGTGTATAGAAAATGCAAATATAAACAACCACTGAAAATTTCATGTATCTACGGTCATTTGTTTTAAAGTTACACCAAAAACCAAAATCGATTAAAATCGATAAAAATTCCGGTTTTTCCTTAATTTTTGATTTTTCTTTTGTTTTTCCCGGCGCTTTTGAAAACTACTGGAAATTTAATATTTTGACCTCCTCAATGCACCAACCTTATTCACTTTCCAATCAAACAAGATACAGAAGTTGAAAATTGAAGCATTATTTCGACTACTTATCGAGTACACAGACACAAAAAAAAATAAATAAATAAAAAAAAAAAAAACACACATCATTGTAAAATCAATACATTCATCGTTTCACTCAGAATCTAAAAAAAAAAATAAGAAGATATATCAAGTAAAAAAACAAAAAAAAGATATTCCACTTTGGACCGATTATATATAAAAAATCATAAAAAAATACAAAAAAAAAAAATAAGATACTAGCTGATCCCGTGCACTTTGTTGCCCGTTAAATGTATCAATTCTATATGACTCAAACTTTGTTCAGTTTATTTAATATTCGGTGTATAGTGTTCAAAATTTATCTTAACTTTTCTGTTGCCCGGAATAAAAAATCTGATTCGCAGCAGAACATTATCAGGTAGGCGATCTACCTGCGGTAGATCGCGGATCCCGTGCTGTTTGTACGTAAGTGTATGATTTAACTCTAAAGTATCAAAGTTATACCAAGTTTGTCGTTTTTACTTAATTCCACTTAAAATAGATTAATATAATCAATTAATACAAAATCCTATCCTAACCTAACCGTACTAAAATCCGATGAATAAAATAAAACCAAATTTTACCCTTTTAAATTAGCCTATCTTCATTCCAGAGGTCTAATCTACCCACAAACATTCATTTATATATAATATATTGACAAAAGACAATAACACAAATTCAACAAACATGCCCGATTAACCAATAGCAACCAATATAATAGTATACACAATTATTATTTTAATCTGCAACAATAAACTAAATGTTCATTTTATTATTTAGTTAATTTTTTTCTGGACAGATGGAGCCACTATAGTATTTTTGAAATCCAGATTTTCTACTTTTCAGGTGGATTTTCCTAAAATTTTCTTTCATACAAACCTTTTCCATGAAATACACTTTCGTTTTAAAAAAAAATCAAGAAGATCTGATAAGTAGTTTCGGAGTTTATCCCGAACAAAAAAAAGCGACTTAATTTTATATACAGTAAAACCTGTGTAATATGGAAACAGTTGGGACCGGATATTTTTTCCATTTTAGACAGGTTTCCATTTAATGCAGGTTGTAAAAAAAAAAAATTCACGATGGGTAGATCTTTATTAAATATACATAATTTATAATTTATATATTTTTATATATTTTACATATTATTATTATATTATATTTTACTCCAAAATTCATCCAATGTTTTTTGTTTTGTTATTTGACTTGCCATTTTCTTTTCTACTAAATTTTTCAAGTTGAGAATTGATTCAAGAAGTTCATTTTCATTATTTTGATCCAATGCGAACATTTCTAATCGTTTTATTTCATGGAGGGCGTTCTTATACGTTTTAATATCATTGCCGTGCAATGGTACATTATCTGTTTCGTCTTCGGAACTGGATTGTTCAACGTCTATTGAAGTGCAAGGTTTCACTGTAGTATCAGCAATAATATCAGTATCATTAGTACATAAATGCTTATCGATGTTAACATATTCATCACTATCTACTTTTTCATTTATTGTAGAACATAGCAATTTAAAATCGTTATCGTTATCGTTAATGGCATCTGTTGGCTGGTCCAAAACTAAATTAAACCCGGCTTTTATGAAACATTTTTTGACTGTATCTGGTTTTATTAAGTTTACAGATTTATTCAACCAATAAATTGCATCTAGTACATTAATTTTATTTGACAATTCATTAACACTTTTTATGCTATCCATACTTGCTAATAACGATTGTAAAACCATTTTACGATAATTTACTTTAATCGAATAAATAATTCCTTGGTCCATTGGTTGGGTAAGTGATGTCGTGTTAGCTGGAAGCCACGCTAAATGAACATTTGATAAATTTAAATGCGGATGACATGTTGCATTATCAAGAAATAAAATAACTCTTCGATTTTGTTTTTTTAATTTATTGTTGAATGTATGCAACCAATCTTCCATTATGCTTCCAGTCATCCATGCTTTATTATTAGCTCGCCAAATTATGGGAAATTTTGTCGGATCTACATTTTTGAAGCATCTGGGTTTTTGTGCTTTGCCTATAACTAGAGGTTTTTCAAATTCTCCTTCCATGTTAGCACATAAAAATACCGTTAAACGTTCTTTGGAAAGCTTACCACCTTACACTCTCACTTTTTCACTGATAGTGTTTTACTTGGTAATGCGCGAAAGAATAAACCCGTCTCATCACCATTATAAATATTTTTTAGGTTCATCTCCTTCAATAATTAATTTTACTTTCACATTCCATTCATCAACATTTTTAACATCGACACTATTTGACTCACCGCAAATTGATGCCAACAATATTATGTCGATTTTTTAAAACTTTCCAACCAGCCATTCGATGCTTTAAATTCGGTGACTGACATTTGTTCAGCAATTTGGCGTGCTTTAGTCTGTATAATTGGTCCAGAAATTGGTATATTTTTTGCTCTAGCACTTACAAACACTCCCAGTCAAATTATTAATTTCTTCATTAGCGTTGGATTTTGGTTTTCTTTTCATTCGCCCATTTCCTAAAATTAAAAAATATACGTAGCATATAGATTTTGAATTTTACATTTTTATAGTTAAGCTTATTGCATACCATTCATCCATTGTTCTTTTATTTCATTTTTTTGCTTTAATATATTATACACTTGACTTTTTCCACATTTGAAAAGTTCACAAATTTGTTTTACTGTTAATTTATCTTTTTCACTTGACTCAATTAGTTTAATTTTTTCATTTAGTGTTAAACATTTATTTTTGGACGTCATATTGAATATAGGTCTATACGCAGTCTACGTCAGAACACTACTACGACACTTATTCGATAAATAAACTTATTGCAAACGAAATATCTATATAATTGATATAGATTATATTCATTGACTGATAATTTTAAAATAGTACATGTACATATTTCCATGATACACAGGTTCATGACAAAATATTGTTTCCATTTCCACGTTAAACAGGTTCCATCTTATTCAGGGAACGATGTATTTAAAATTACATTAGGATCGCCGGGACCGTAACATTTTTCCATAAAAGTCAGGTTTCCACGTTATTCAGGTTCCATATTACACAGGTTTTACTGTATAAAATAACAAATTGAACAAAGTTTGAGTTATAAAGAGTTGGTACATTTAACGGGCAATGAAGTGCACGGGATCAGTTATTTCTAATAAAAATATATTTATCATTAATTATACCGCTAGAAACTTTTCAATACGTTTTCATTAACTATTTTTTATATTTACTTGCCGATTACCTACATTAAACGATAAAATTCGAATAAAAAATTAAACATAACGTCAGGAGGCAAAATAAATAACCAATCACGGGTGAAGCTGTGACGGGTCGGCTAGTAAGATATAAAAAAAAAAATACTTTTGATTGATGTACTTAAACTATAATAAATATTATTGTAAAACTACATTTATTTTGTTGAGTACACAATAAAATTATTGTCTATAGAAAAATAAAATATTTTATTACTTTTTTTACTTATTAGAGTGTATCTGAATATTTATATTTTTTTCAACAGAATAATGGGCTCCACTGAATTGCCCCTGTGAGGGCCCATGCAAAGTTATAACTACCTACTAGCATTGTTTTTGTCACGCATCAAATATATCAATAAAGTATTGTAATAATATTTTTGTTGGGTATTTTTGGTCAGGTAAATATTTTAATATAATAATTAATAGATAACCATAGATAACTTGGCACTTTTACGTATATTATACATTCGACTGTACTCAATGGCATTTCAAAAATTGTAATACTTTTTACTCTTGACCCCACAAAGTAGGTAACAAATAGGACTTACCAAGTATCAGAAAAGATGCTGATGTAAAATATCAAATCATTTTTACTGCCCCAAAATGTAGCCTCAAAACGAATATTAAAAAAGCTGGTTAGTGGATATCACTCTGCTGTACAGTTGGTTAAAAGTGGCCCAAATGGGTCAATGTAATGGATGGTCTTAATACTCTTAAATTAGAATTCAATGATATAAATCTTTGCATACGAAAAACGATCCTTAGCGAAGACTGACCATCAGCCTATAATATTACTAAGTAGGTATATTTTATGATATTATTGTGAATAATTTTAGTATTAGACATTTATAATAGTGTATATTCCTATTATATTATATGATTGTTATTAACTTGAGATAACACCACATTACCATGGAACAGTGTAAATATTTACATGATATAAATAGCCAAAATAGTCAATACATCGTTGCTCCGTTTGGAATAAAATAATAATTCTTACATAATGACATTCATAGTTTGAGGTGGAATACATCAGAAATAAACATTAATATAATTAATATAAATGTTTAAATTAGAACAAATGAAACTTTTCATCATCAACAATAAAAAAAAAAAATAAATTTTTATATTTTGTATGTAGGTATATAGAGTATAGATTTATAGTACATTATATTATCAAGTTGCAAGTCCAAATTTAGAAGAGTTAGGTACTAATTATATTGTTTGTTATACCTTTCTGTTGAACCCGAATACTTACAATAGTTATGAAATATGACTTGCTTGATGATCACAAAATCTTGATTTTCTTACGAAACACTTGCCAAACGTTCAAATGTTAACATTCACCATCAAGATTCAAGAAAATGTTTAAAATATTAGATAATAACCACTTTGCGTTTCACAATGTTTTGGTTACTTTACATTTATAAGAAGTACACCTATTACAGTCACATTTATACCTTTTCATAAACACATAATAAGTCGTCATAGCTCAAATATAAAAACATAATATTATTGATGTCATACTTAATATTAAATTGTTTTGAAACTCCACTCAATTACAATTAAATCCATTCACAATGCTCTTCAATTTAAACCATTAAGAGGTGGCACTTATATGTAAATGATTTTTATATAACTTTTATGAGATAGGTACCGTACTTTCATAATTCTATGATTGTGTCACTTAAGTATACAGACATTACGTTAGACAATTTTAAAAATTATCATAATACAAGACGATTTGCTGCCTAATGTTGATTTTCCTTTACAATAATTAACCGTAAATCATGGAAAATGTTAACATTATATAAATTACCCTCAACATAGGTAAACATATTATGATATTTTAAAAATTAGTTTACACACGTCCCTCACTATAGATATTATAATTAGATGATGATAATACATTGAAAATTAGTCGATGAGCAATTCAAACTTATCAATATACAACTTATGTAATAGGCATCAGTTTTATACTAAAAAACACTCAACCTTAATAAATAACCTAATATAGAAAAATGTATATAAATATATATGTATATAAAAGTATATTTGTTCATATTCTGTAGAAGTAAAAATTACCGGACTATTTTCAATAAAAACTTTATCATTATAATATTATCTCTGAGACTCGGGAACTTGTAAAGTCATTTTTCAACAAAACGGTCCGCTTTTCCGAAGTAGATTTAAAACTTTCTAAAATACACGATCCAACTAGACAGTATAAACATTAAATCTAAATTACCCTCAATATAGGTATACATATTATATTTTAAAAATTAATTTACCCACGTCCCGCACTATATTTATTGTAATTATTTGACGTTAATACATTGGAAATTAATAGATGCGCAATTCCAACTTTTCAATATATAACTTATACATTATGTACACAAGGTGTAACAGAAAGACTTGACTAAAACAAAAAAAAAAAAAAATTGATGTTACTTAAACGTAAGTATGACAAAAATATTGTTAAAATTATATGATTAGTAAATACTTTTAGAAATATACGTTATAAATATATGTTAGCAAATATCCAAAAATGTTATTGAGTTCCAAAATAATTTAATCAAAAAAATATTGATTTAAAAAAATTCTAAAAAAACTACTTGATTTAGATAAATGTTTTTACCATAAAAATCATTCTTATAATAAGATTCACAAATTTTATATTTTGTTTTTATTCAAAAAAATTGTCCGTGCTGAGGTAACGTTACCCCATTCATTCATTAATGACGTATCGATAACTTCACAAATATTTTCATCTACAGAATTTGATTCTTCATTAGATATACCATCCTCTGTGATATTATCAACATATACTACATATACATATACATATACTCAATGTATCATATTTTTCAGAGATCATGGAACAAACTGTGAATGTTTTTCCATTTACTTCCATAACACCTTCTTAAAGAAATAGGGCGTTACTCATATTGTTATCATGTCTTTTAGGTTAGGTTAGGTTAGGAATTTTGATTTCTTAAGAATAGTCCATTGTGATATTAGTTTTACAAAATGGTTGATATCGTTTCTAACAAACCATAACGATATATCAATATCGTTAACTTGAATATTCATCACTAATTTGAAACATGTTTTTAAGCACTCTTCGAGTGAGTTGTTCTGGTTAAATTATTGTACAATTGCAGACATAAAGGCCAAGAATTGATAGGATATTACCATTTTAGGAGGTTTGACACCACACCCCAGCCATCGTTTTTCCACGTACATATACTACATATGTCAACATTTTTATTTTCAGTATTAAAAAATAAAAATATTTTTCTTTCATTACATATGTAAAGCATGTGGCTTTAAATTATATATATAAAAAAAATATCTCAGTTATATCTCAAGTTGATATATCGGAATCCTCATCATGTATAGTTAAATATCAGAAGATTTATAAATTAATATTGAAACATAACAATAAGTTAGGCAGCAACCACTGCCACGGCCGTACAGTACGTTTTGAGTGGGTCACTGTAATTGTATGGATGTGTTAAATTTTAAAATGTTGAAAAGACATATAATTTGAAAATAATATTCGTGGGTATGTACTTGAAACTTCTAAAGTACTTAAGTACCTACCTATATTATTATATAGCACTATAGGCAGTGTATGTATGCCTTATAACAATATAGAATAATTAAGAGGGGGAAGGAGTCGGCAGCGGATTAAGGCGTCGGTTGCGAGGCGCACCGTCGCCGGTTCGAATTTTGGTCGCGGGTGGCACTTCTCTCCGGGCAGACATCTGTCTGGAAAGAGAGGCCGCCGTCCCCCAAATGGGCATGGCAGAAAATTACGGTTGCCCAATTTGAAATTCTGCCAAACTAAAGCACACATGTTTACAAAAAACCTGCAGTACCCTCCCCACAGTTAAAAACCACCCAATGGCCTAAGTAGTCCCGTTTTAATAAATAAAAAAAATTATACTAATAATAATTAAGATGAAGACTTGGTAACTAAAGCCATTGCAGTCGGCCTGGCACACCAAAGGCCAATGGATCAGTTTTTAAGGGGAACAAAAATGAAATACAAAATTTACTTGACATTTTGGTGAAAAAAATGCTCACCAAATTTTTTCCATTGAATTCATTCAAATTCTGATTTTTAAAATTTTTAAGTTTACCTAAAGACCATATATTCAAATTCCTGATATATTTTGTACTACTATTAAAGAGTGTCCCGTGGCTACTGGCTATACAAGCTTCTATATTTTTCAAATGAGAATTTCCTTTTTTACTGCAAATTATTTAGCAGATAATGTTCTTGTAAATATAGATGTATCTAAATCAAAATTGTAATAGTTTTAGTAGTTATACTATAAATTCCAGTAGTTGCTGAATTATTAAAATGTGTATACTAAGGTTAATAATTCTTAAAATATTTAGGTTTTATAATAAAAAACAAAAAGTCCTACCTAATATTAGATGTAGTACCTACCTATTAACTGTTATCAGTATACCTACTTAATAATTTTTACAAATTATTTATCTTGACAGATCAATGGCAATAATAGTACTAATAATTAACTACTAATATTTCAAATCATCTAAGCCCCCAAATCTACTTGGATAATTTCCATATACGTATTATCCTTAGTACCTACACCAAGTTACACCTATATAAATCAAAAACTACTAGTTTGAATTTTGATTTAGATGCATCAAAGTTATTAAATCAAAATATCTGCTGAATAATAATAGTAAAAAAAGAGGATTCCATTTGAAAAACAGAAGCTTGTATTGTAACAACATCATCCTTAAATGGTAAAAAAAAGTATTCAAAAATCTTCAAGTATATATTTTAAAAGTTCTAAAAACAGAATTTGTATAATTATATACACGCACATATTATGTACAATTTAAGTAAAAAAATCACTCTGTTTAATATTAACGCGAAGCCTGAAGAGAGGAATCATTCGTTTAATAATAAATTAATATTGACATTTTTATAATATTTTAAACTGTGAAATAATAACTAATTATTATTAATTACATAGAAACGAAATTACGAAAAACAAAATTATGTATATATTATTTTTAGAATTTTAGCTTTGAAGAAAAATCCTCAAAAGCTATAAGCATAATATTATTCAAGTAAGCTTTCATAGGTAAATCGTAAATGTCCAATCTTAATCATTGTTGTATATTTATATATACTTATACTAGCTCTCTTAGCGTCGCTTGGGGAGACCCGCAAACCCCCCGAGTTGGCGAGGAGTTTAAACCGATGTCTGAAGCTGCAGTGGCCAGTGGTCTTTTGGTCTAGTCGTCGGTCTCGAGCCGGTTGGTGTGTGATAAGGACGTCTGGTGATAAGGAACTGTGATAAGGTTAGGACCACCGCGGTTTGACGTGGTAGCCCGGGTAAGCAACAACGTTCGCCGACAACGTTCTTTACTGCCGCCGGAAATTCGAAATTCCATTAAAAAATCATATAGCCGCCTTATTTTTTTTGGGTGTCTAGCAGGTTAGTCACCTCGAATAACGTTCACCGTAGTATATAACTACACACAATGCAAACTTTTCTAAAAAAATGTTTGATACGTTATCTCCACTGCGGCGGGCCCGCCGTGAACAAAGTGTAAATAAATGTTTACAAATGTAAATTTAGCGGGGAACCTCGAATATGGTCGGAGCGTGGACTCAAAAAGTCCTGACAGGGGAGTAGAGATGAAAAATCTGAAGAAATTGAAATTATTTATATTAATAGATTAATAAATAGACTAATCTATATAATATATAAATGCAAAGACGCAAAGTACAAAGTTGGATATATATATATATATACAGTGGAACCTCGATAAGTCGAAATTCAAGGGAAATGCAATTTTTTCGACTTATCAAGGTTTTCGACTTACTAAGGTTTTCGAGTTATCAAGGTTTTAGAAAAAAAATTCGACTTAAAGAGTTTTAAAAATGTATGTATGTATTAAAGTTTTTAATTATTATGTACCTAGTATATATGTATATTCAATGTAAAAAAATGTGATTATACAGATTATTTAAATAAAAAAATTATTACAAAAAAATATAATGAAACATGTGTTGCAACTTTATAAAAGATAATTTATTATTTTACTTTGACTTAAAATTTGAGATTTGCTATTATCAATTGTATTTTCTATTACATTTAAAGCAGAGTACACTTTATCGTCCACATTACTCAATTGTTCGGTGAATGTCCTTAGCAATATGAGGGCTGCTGTTGCTTGCTTCATTGAAACAATGAAGATTAGATAAAATTATCAGAACGGACAAGCCGATTAGACAAATGTTTATAAAATTATCTGTCATTATCCGTCATATTCGGAGCACAGAATGTTCGAGTTATCTATAGTTTTTTTTTCGAGTAATCGAGGTTTTCGCAAGGGAACGGAATTTTTTTCGACTTATCAAGGTTTTCGACTTATCGGGGTTCCACTGTATATATATATAGGTATAAGTAGACGTATAGTACTATGAATAATACATATTTTTGCATACAACACTTACATGATCACTGAATCCAACAGCGGATCCGCTGTAGGGTCAGATACTCGGATGAGCGGGGCCCTCGTGGCCTCGTCTGGGTTCATTGTTTTTAAGGAGAAATATAAGACCTAACTTAACTTGCACTAGCTCAATTAATCCAAAAATATTCCTATACTTATTACTTGACACTAATTTTACTATTATAGTGCCCGGCTTACACTAAAATAGGCAAGCATTTGTGCCCTGTAAAGAAAAAATGCGTACGGTTAAAAATATCGATACCTAAATATTTTAAGGGGCCCTTACTCCCTATATAGACGAGGCACACGCCAAGCAAAGAAAAAAATGTACGAGACCCTAAAAAAAAACGGAGGGGCCCCGTCCTCGTTCGTGGCCTAGTGGCCATGGCCAGGCCGACACTGACTAAAGCTATTTTATTACAATCGAATATATAAAGATTGGTTTTATATTATGATAATATGGCCTGATTTACAACATATTTGCAAATAACAATTAAATAATTATAATGATATGGTTTGGTACATTGGTGTACAACAATTGCAAATAACAATAAAATGATAACTATAATTATATTAGCTGAAATACAACATATTATTTGTAATTTAATATAATATAATAATAAAATGTCCTGATTTACCTGATTTACAACAGATAAATAATTATAGTACTCACAGATTGTGGTTATGGAGCGCAGACTGGCCAGCGGCTACTTCCTATTGCAATAATAATTTCACAGAACACATTTAATATGGGTTAAACATAATATTTGTATAAATCACGTCATGAACACGATGTCAAATAAAATCTAATAGCTAGTGATTTTTTGACTGTACCTATATAAAAATCCGCACAGAGCAAAGACAACGCGTATTCAATATTCAAACGTTTAGTACGTACTGAATATTTTGTAGACATTAAACAATTGTTTTCGTATAATATAATAATATTATCATGATTTATGTAAGTTTGTGTGTGTGTGTGTTTGTGTGGTTAAGCGATATGCTAACATGACTCATTATTATATTATAATATAAAATACCTTGTGCATTGATTATTGTGATTGCCATAGTACCTACGCTGTGAGGCATCTAATTATATAATATAATTAATAGATATTTTGATGTGGTCTTCAATGTTGACGATATATTTGTGTATTTTAATCAACATCCTCCCTCGGTTGAAGATTATTCCTTTTCAACCGCCATGTCTTCTTTTTGTATTGGAAGGCGACATAGTTTGACAGTTGACCTACGCATTTCAGTACCATAAGCTGTTCGCACCGTGACTCGTATGATTTTGTCCTTTCCAGTACGTGGATCTGTTATTCTCCCTAGCCTTTATCTTCTAGGGTGTGTGTGGATTCTCCTTTTACTATCATTGATTTCCAAAGGTCTGATGTTTGTAATCCATTTTTCGTTTAAAAAACTCTGTATAAGATACAGTACATACTACCACCGACGTAATTCATTTTGAGATCTTTCAGTGAGATCTACTGACAGGTGCTATGAATAGTGGTCGGCCGATTAGGAAATGTGTTGGCTTTAGCTCTTACATATCCAATGGATTTCTGTTAATATACTTTAATTTATACATGCTTCTACTTTGCACAATATGATATATAGTTCTCCCATCGTTTCCTTCATCGTGTGTGAAATTAAATTTCGTATTCCTGACCTCACTTCCCCACCGCCCTCTGAAGTGTGGAGCAGTTGGTGGATTACATTTCCACTCAATAGCTTTATTCGTCATTTTTTCATCATCTACTGATCTCAAGTTGGTTAATCTAGCTGAGAAGCATACGATTACTGCTATCCATGCCTTTGAACCAGTTAAAAGTCCATTATTTGTTATCATTGATCCTGGAAAGTCTACTCCACACACTGCAAATGGACGGTGGCCTTGACACGATTTTGGTATTTTATGAAACGTAAGATCCAAGCAACAGACCACACTATTGTGTTCCAATTGTAATAGGCATTAAAAATGTTGTTGATAGTGACACACTCAAATAATGCAATTTTTAACTGCCCTTATTCTGGCATTTGGTAATTTTCAATTAATTGGGCTATGGGGTGAGACCATTTTTCTTCTTCGGTTGACATCCATTGGGGTCTTTGCGACCATTCATCAGCTAATAATCACATTGAAAAATAAATTAAAATTTGAATATTTGTTTCGTTTATGAAATACTGCTCACTATAAGGCAGAACACATTATTCAACAATAGATACATTATTATACAATACTATAAGTATACATAATTTTATAAAATCTTAAGTTAATTTATGTTCTCACTATTAGGTACAGCACACTAATTGTATAATACAATTTAAATAATTTATTATTTCTGCTAGGACAAATAGAAACAAATTCACGTTTGGCCTTAATTTTTATTTTGTTTTTCCTTGTGCTTTTGAAAACTATTGGGAATTTTAAATTTTGACCTCCCGAAAGCACCAACCAGATTCACTTTCCCATCGAACAAGATACTGAAGTTGAAAGCATTATTTCGACTACTAATCGTGTACATAGACACAAAAAATAAAAAAAAAACACATCAATGTAAAATCAATACATTCATCGATCCACTCAGAATCTAAAATAAAAATGTTGTATTTTATATTTTGTATATGGAGTTTAAATATATAGTATATTATATCAAGCTGCAAGTCCAAAATTATGAAAGTTACTCATCAGTCACAATTTTATATTGTTTTTTGTATCTCTCTGTTGAACCCGAATGGCGAATACTTACAATTTTTAGCACACTAATTGTATAATACAATTTAAATAATTTATTATTTCTGCTAGGACAAATAGACAATATATTGCTTACTATAGGGCAAAACACGATGTAAACTAAAATCTAATAGTATTTTTTTGACTGTATATAACAATTCTTACAAAGAAAACGCATAATGGAATGTTCTAGTACTTATTGAATATTGTGTAGACATTAGACAATCTTTTTCGTATAATATAATAATACTATCCTGGTATTTTAGTTTGTGTGCGTGCATGTGTGTATGCCTTGTGGTTAAGCGATAAGCTATCAGGATTCATTATAATATTATATAATTTACCTTGTGCATTAATTATTGTGATTGCGTATACAGCGGGTGTTAACGGCTATTTTGATGTTGTCTTCCTTGTTGACGCCTATGTAATATATTATGTATAGGCGTCAACAGTAGTGAATACAGTGATACCATACAATTATACAAACCTTGTACATACAGTGTATATTATTATTATGATAATTACATATTTAATATCTATTTGACCTAATCAAACTAATTATTCTTTTCAGATTTTGATTGTAATGAATATATACACAGTCATAAACTAAATTCAGTAGGCATATTATATACTATTATAATTAAGATTACATATTTTAAAATCAATCTTTCAGCATTCGTTTCCATTAAAAATGAATAAGAAGTATGGAATTTCATTAAACTTGTTCTTGTTTTTATTTATCGGATACTTTTTGACATGTTCAGCATCTAATACGCCTAAAGTACATGTAAACTCTGGACAAATTGCAGGTGGATTTGAGTATACCTATAACGGTCGAAAAATTTACTCATTCTTAGGCATACCATATGCAAGTCCTCCAGTTCAAAATTATCGATTTAAAGTATGTTAAGAATAATTGTTATATTTGAAAACGATTGAAATTCAAAACAAATTGAAATTTCTTTTCGCAGGAACCACAGCCCGTAAAGCCTTGGTTGGGCATATGGAACGCCACCATTCCTGGAAGTGCCTGTTTAGGACCGGATTATGAATCAAATTATGAAATTGTTGGTCAAGAAGATTGTTTATATCTCAACGTTTATACGCCAAAGGTAATTGACATTAAATGAGATAAATAATAAATAATTTATCATTATTTATTAATATATACACTGTTTCTGTTTATGATTGCTTACATTTAAAACACTGAAAACGTAAAATGATAACACTTAAAAATTACATGAACCCTAATAAACTGAGTTTTGTTCGTTTATAGTGTTAATTATGCGATGGTTTATCATTGTTTTTAAAATTATACCCTGATTATAGTAAATACCCAATCAACCCAGAACGACATTGCAATATATATATATAAAAAAATATAATTTCATTAATTAAACAGCTACCAGACGGGAATAGGTCTGGTTATTTAATGAACGTAGTAGTGCACATACACGGTGGCTCGTTCATTAGTGGCCAAGGCATATCATATGGTCCACAATATCTTTTGGATACCAACGATTTCGTTTACGTATCGATAAATTACCGTTTGGGTATATTAGGATTTGCTTCCACCGGCGATAGTGTTTTGCCTGGAAATAACGGAATGAAAGACCAAGTAGCAGCATTGAAGTGGATACAACAAAACATTGTTGCGTTTGGTGGTGACCCCAACAATGTCACAATCACTGGCTTGTCGGCTGGTGCAAGTTCTGTTCATTACCATTTGATTTCACCAATGTCTAAAGGTTTGTGTAAATGTGTAATCTACAATGTTATTTGAAACAATGTTAATTAAATCATTTAAAAATTAAATTATAATTTTACGTAATCCGTACACATGCTAATGTGTAAAGGTAAGATTAATTGTGTAATCTACAATGTTATAAGAATTGAGTTGCAGAGTTAAATTATTACCAGCACAAACAATATTTGAAACCTGTAATTTTGTAGTTATATCCTTATTTCAAAATACATGCACGGCTGTCTTCATTTAACATCTCTTGTATTTTTAATATTAAAATAAGTATATAGGTATGTTTAATATTTAATTGATGTAGTTTGCAATGTTTAGATAAAGTTTAGATTATCTAATAGTGAATTAAAACTAAATATATTTAGTATAATACATTGCACTGCAATAGCCATACATTTTAATTCCGGGCTTTGCACCAGAATCATTAATTTGTGTTCCGAGTTTTGGGTGCTTCACTGATGCATGTATTCGGGCTTCCAAACATCAGAATACAATTGTAAACAAACGTTTGGGTGTTAACAACTGTTATTATTTTGGTTTATATTGGTTAATAGTATTTTAGTATAGTTCAGAAAAAAAAATGTATATAATTAATTTTTAATTTGTAATTGTTTAAAAATTATTTTTATGTTATAACTATGGTTTATAAATATTTTTACGTTTTCAGGATTATTTAATCGAGCAATACTTCAAAGTGGAAGTGCATTCTGTCACTGGTCGTATACTGAAAATGTTGCTCAAAAAACAAAGTATGTTGCAAAAATGCTGGGATGTCCTACAAACAATTCCGTGGATATCGTTGAATGCCTTCGTTCTAGACCAGGAACGTCAATTACAAAATCATTTATACACTTCATGGTAAATATTTTGTTGATAATCAAATAATAAATTTATATTTCCTCAAATTGTATTTTATTTATAATGTTTTAGCCATGGAAATATAATCCTTTTTCACCGTTTGGTCCAACCATTGAAGTAGAAGGAGACGAAAAATTCTTACCTGTTATTCCAGAAAAACTCATTCCATATGATATTCCAGTGCTCATGAGTGTTACCCAAGATGAGGGTCTTAGTACTGCTTTATATATTATCTACGAAAATGGTATTAATGAACTAAACAATAATTGGAATGAATATTTACCACATCTTCTGGATTATAATTACACAATTTCAAACGAGAATTTGAGATCCAAAATTGCTCAAGATATAAAAGAATTTTACTTTGGTGACAAAATAATATCAAAAGATACTATAAGCAATTTTGTGGAAGTACGTTTACACTATAATAAGTACATAATAGATAAAAACATAATATTAGATTTTGAGTGAAGTGATGAATGAACGATTTTACAATGATGTGTGTTTTTTTATTACTTTCTTGATTTTTAATCAAGTAAGTATGATAGCTAGAAAGTTGGTTGTTAACTCATTAAAAAGACAGATACTAAATATGGAATTAAAATATTTAAAAAAAATTATTTAATTTTTGACAGATAAAAGTTAATAGTTAAATCTGTTACCAAAAAATCTAAAAAAATACATAAACACAGTTTATTCTTATAGTCATTTTAAGTTTAAATTTGGATGAAATTAAATATTATTAAAAAACCTAGAATAACTATTTTAGTTATTTTGTTATGATTGTATAATATTATTCGTGGGTACTTGAAACTTCTAAAGTATATAATTATATAATAATATATCTATGATAATATTACGGTTTATTGTTGATGTATAACGAGCTATAAATACTTAATAGATATTGGGATATGATTAATTTGGAATTTATTATAGGTAATAATAGGTAATTATAGGTTATTCACCTATTATAGGTGAATTTTTTTTTAATAATTAATAACAATATTCATACTGACAAACCATCTCCGCTCAGAATCATTTTTCTTATACAATGTTATTATATTATTGAATTCAAATTTAATACCATCCACTATGCAGTAACCCACTTGTAACCTACTGTACGTCTGTACAGCAGAGTGACATCCACTTGCCCACCTATTTTAAAATTGTTTTCATTGTTTTTATATATAAACAATTTCAATATTCCAAATAATTAACTGTTATAAATAAACTTACTTACTTCATCACAATTGTACCACCTCATGACAAATTGACGAATATACAATCCACGTGATATTTTATTCCTTGAAAAAACGAATCTAATTGAATCAAAATTTGTTTTACATTAATATTTATTAGCATGTATTTATTTTTGCATATTGAGTGTTAAAGCTTGGCTTAAATATACGAGATTATTGCCTATATTGCCAATATATTATCATAGTATAGCCGCCAGTATAGGTCGTCCCCTTAACCTGCCAATTTAATTCCTTAACGTGATAAAATTATGTAGTGGGGGTACTATTGCAATACCCTCGTATATTTAAGCCATGGGTTAAAGCATATTTTGTTATTATTTTTAATGCCTTATAATTTGTATAATAAGTACCCGTAGTTGGGTAATTTTCCGAACGTTATATGTTAGTGGTTGGTTTTTACACATGTACGTAGTTGATTCTAATAACAATTTGGATTATTGTTGTATTTTTTTTTCGTTGTTATGTCCTATATTATTGTCAATGAACAAAAATAACGTAGAGTTCAAATTACAAAATATGTTATATTTTTTTAGCATTGAACCGAATAAAAGTTAGTACCTACCTTTAAGAACAAATAATATTAATATTAATTTATTTTATCAACACGATAAAAATAAGTAATACTGACGAAATGTGACTGACAAAATATGCATTTAAATCATTTTGTTAATAATAATTATGAATATTTTCTGTTTTGTCTTTTTAGAATTTCTTAACTTCTTAGGTATATAATTTTTGCTTAATTTGTATTTTTAAGGCACGTATTTTTCCATTTTTTTGTTAATGTAAATTTTATTTGTAAGAGTTTTTATGTGCATTAAATAATAATCTAATATCAACATTCTTCAGATGATTTCAGATAGAACATTTGGATATGCTGTGAGTAAAGCAGCTCAACATATTGCTGAAATGAATACAGCTCCTGTATATTTTCATGAATTTGGATACAGTGGTAATTATTCTGTTATAGCTAGTTTCGATCCAAAATCATATTCCCGAGGATCAAGTAAGTTATCTATTTTAGAATGTTTACATATTTTTAATTTATATGTGTAACACAGAATTATTAATCCATTATAACTAATATAAAATTAGACGTAACACATTGTGATGAAATCATATATTTATTAAACATGAAAGGTTTCTCTGTTCACGACAATGAAGAAGATACAAAGATGATCAAAACTATGGTTAATATTTGGGCAACCTTTATTAAAAATGGGTAATTATTTGACATTTATTGTCTAATCCAGGCCCCAGGGTGGTCCAACTTGAGCGCTGCATGCGGCCCTCAAAGTCTTATACTAGAAGACTTAAATATACTAAAAAAATAACTTTGTTAAAAAACAAAACTAGAAATTACTATAACGTTTTTTTTTCTTCTGGCGGCCTCCAGTATATTTATGAAAGTGTAAATTGGCTGGCCAACTATAAAAGGTTGGACCACCCTGGTCTAAACAATATCATTGTTATAAATATTATTGAAATCTAATATTAAGTTTCTAAACTAATTTTAGCCTATACACGTACCAAAATGTATTATTTTTTATTAAAGGTAGGTAGTTATTTATAATTGGTAATCGACAATATTTTTTTAACTTTTTATAGAGCTCCAGATATAGGAAATTCGGAAATTTGGTTACCAGTTTCTAAGAATCCAGCAGATCCTTTCAGGTTCGTCAAGATTACTCAACAGCAAACATTTAAAAACAGAGAACATTCGAACCATGGAAATTATGAATTTTGGAGTAGATTACCATTAACAGAGTTTTATAATATTAATGTGCCAGAAGACGTAAAAACCATTGACAGAGTTTTATGAAGTTAATATTCTGAAGAGTTAAAAATATAAAATCTTAAATATAGACAGTCTTCACATTTTAATTGAAATTCAATATACGGATAACAAACTGATATTGTGGTTTTGACTTGCGAAGTCAAAGATGAGGGATCTACTACTAACACAATAACTAGACAAAACCAGGAACGTACAAATCATTTTTATTATATTTTAAAAGTAAAAAAAATTGTTAAAAATTATCATTTTTGAAAAGAAATCGAGTATGACTTTGAATAACGCCTTATTTGTTACAATTTTTATTTGTATTTTATTATCCCACGGGTTAATACTTAAAATACCTACCTTAAAAAAGTTGTTTTCGTAAATTGTACCTATCTTTGTAAGCATGGCCTCATCGAAGCTCGTTGTCCAGTAATTGTCCATTGACAATAATAATTACAGTCACGAAAGTCATGTCAGGTTTAGCAAAAATTATGGAAGATACGAAAACGAAATGTTTAAGGTATTCTAGGTCTGTAGAATAATAAGTTAAAGTTAAGAAGTGTGGTTAATACGGCATTATTTTGAATATTACCTATACGTGATTTCCTTTCAAGTTGACAACTTTTTTTCTTTTTTATATTAAAATAATTTTTACATTTCTGGTTTTTTTCTGAGAATTGTGTAATTTAGCATATGATTTATAGCACTATAAAATATCTTTAAAATGGAAAAAAATGAGGATAAAAAGTTGAAAAGTTTTGAAGATACATAAGCAAATGTCCGATAGGTTCGGTTTTTTTGAAGTTTAATTGCTCACAAATAAAAAAATTAAAAAATAGACCCTCTTTTAAAGGTTTCTTTTCATAACTTCAAGTATTGTATCGTATGACGCAGGCCGGCCATTTCCCCATGGGACATTGGGACACATTGTAGGTATAATATGATTGAATATAATTGCAGACCTATATTTTACTTTTGATAGGAATACATTTAAAGGAGAGCCTACTGTAAATAACTAGCATATAAATTTTAATTTGTCTATGACAATGCCTTGTAAGATCAGCTAGTTAAATAAAATATGAAACTAGGTATTCTCAACAGCAGCATGAAACATGAATATTTTTTCCTATTTATACAACTGTAAAGTTTTAAGTACAACCTTAATATTAGATTTATACTTGCTAGCCAGCTAATACATTATTTATGCTTTTAATTAAATACATGAAGAATAAAATATAAACAATATAATAATACATTGAAGTTAATACCTGTGATATTTACTATAGGTAGTCAATATGCCAGAAGTCATTATTAGTAAAATTTCAGTGTCAACAATGACCAGGAGATTTTGTATGAGGTTGTTAGTTCTAAGTTCTGTTTACATTTTGACCTTATTCCTGCAGTCATCCGTATGAGAGTCACTTGGGGCCCTTTAGCAGAGTTGTGAAGATCAAAGTTATCTATTCAGGCATATGTAAATATGTTTGAATTTGATATTTATTTATTGACAATATAATATATATTATATATATATATATATTCTAACCAAAATGAACCTATTGTGGGTTAAGTGTGTACTCTTAAGGTTGCCGGAACTTGAAAACTGTGTGATAGGGAATAAGCCGTTTCTATTCGTAGGTACATGCTAAATAAATATTTTCCAAAGGCCAAAATTATAATAACAAGTATAACATATATTTTTAAATGACATAATTTTAGATCCTCGAAATAAATCAACATTTTAATAAAAAAATAACTTATTAGATTCTGAGAGTAGCAAAATAATGTATTGATTTTACAATGATGTGTGTGTTTTTTTCTGTTTATAGTAACTTTTGGGTCAGTAAAAATGTTCCTATTTTTTATTTCAACATATTATCTGATAGAATAGTGAATTAGAGAGGTAAAAATAGAAAATTCCCAGTAGTAAAGAAAGAAAATAAAGGAAATGTCTACACAAACCAATTTTTAATTTTAATAAAATTAATTTAAATAACACTTAAAATAGAAAAATATTGTAAAATTATATTATGTCAAATACACAATCTTGATAGCCCTTTTGGATTTTGATTTACAATACTAGACAAGATGGTTATGGTAGCTCGACAAGATAATCATAATAAATACGGCCCTTCTGGCCCAACAGAGTACACATTTAAAATATATTATAAAAGAAGCTGTAAGCTCGTATTCCAAATTAATACACGGCCCTTCTGGCTCAATAATATAAAAAGTAAATAGTAATAATAAAAAACTCCCATTAATTGTGGAGCGTAGGTTGGCCAGTTGTTCCTATATTTATAATTATATAAACAATAATAGAAAATAAATAAATAATACAATATGGTTCACACAGTGAACATAGTTTGAATACACGAAGAATGAAAAATAAGTGTTGCGATTCGCACACATATGATTCAAAGTGATATAGTGGCGATTAGCACACACTCGAACAACAATAATATAATAAATGGACCACAATAGTAAAACAATATAAGTAGGTAAATCAACAGAAACTGGCTAATCGAGTATGGTCACTGCGATGGCACAAAATATATCACTTTATTTATAAATTATAATTTACAAGCTTTTTTCCTCGCTAAATGATCATCGATTTTTTTTTCAGGTGATTTATGCAGTGTTATATCCGTTATAACGAAAAAAGTATTGGACAAATCTGAGGCCCCTAAATAAATTCTTACTACGAGGGCCATCCCCCCCTGACCCCCCTTATAGGGCTTGATTATTAGTGTGTGTGTGTGTGTAATGTACATGGATGTGTGTAAAGCTATTCCGTGAAATTATAATACAATTATTAGGTATTATTAATTTGTGTTCTTATTTCTTAAAACATCGTTGCGGCAGGAACAATAGGACTTATGCGCAGTCTTCATTCTCCACATGCCACAAATTGTGCTACACTTGTGGATGGACGACAGGAGATTTCCGTGATAAAAAATAGTATTCTGAAAAACGTATTTAAAATATTTTAAAAGTATTCTAAAAACGTTTAAAACACTTTTTAGTTTTTGTTTTAAATAGTATATTTTTTTCGGAAAACAACATAATATATGATTTAATGACTTTAAATACAATATTATTGTAAATAAAAAATATTTTTCATGGGAATCAAATAATTTTAAAAAGTATTTTAAATAGTTATTCAGAATTATTTTGGGAAAAGTATTTTAAAAGTATTCTGAATAATATTAGATACTGAAATAAATAATAATTACTAGTAGGTTTTTTACCTACCATCGCCAACCCAATTTACTGGAAACGGATACAATATTATTATATCTTAGTCCGTGGTGCCAATCAACCAATATTACTATTATGTACAAAAAATATAAGTAACAACAATAATGTCAATACACAGTAGTGGTGCTGATTAGTATGAACTCCAGATGGCGCGACCATTACCGTTTTGGAGAGTTTATCACGATAGGGTTCTGTTACGTTACGAATCCCACACAATCATTTTGTTTTATGATAAAGTATTATGTTGTAATGTCTTAAGTAGAAAATAAGTCTTATTCTGAAACTCATTTTAAATATAATGTTGAACTACAAGTGCCTAGTTAATTTTTAAAATAATTTTAGGTCATCTAAAAAAAATGTAATAGTAAATACTATTTACAGACTTACAGTAGATAACGGAAAGCATAACTAAATCTTTAATAAAAAATTTAAAATAAATTATTTGATACATTACAGCCTTGTGAGACTCTAGAAGTGACCAAAATAGGAGTGGATACATTATTATTTATTATACTTAATCATTTGAGTTCTGTCGCATAAATATGATACAAATTCCAAAGATTTGCCATTTAATCCAAATTATTTGAACCAGTGGCGGCTCGTGAGGTTCACGTAAAGTGGTGCACAAAAAATGTATAAGATATCTATGTTAGATGGTAAAAAAATTTATTTTGGTATAGGTACATACCACGAATAATACCAAAATAATGTACCTACTTATCTTATCTAAATTAAATTTTTTTAAGCATTTTACCCAGTGGCGGCTCGTGGTATGGTGCACAGGAGCACGTGAACCACCCAAAAAAATTATATTAAAAAATTATTATATGCCATAATAACATAATATAATTGATGATTATGCAAATGGTCTGTAATTAAAAAAAATATAAATATTTATCTTAATAAAAACAAGTTTTTGCAGCTTTTATGTTAAGAAATATATTTATAAACGATTAAATAATATCGCGGAGCACAAGTTGTTTGTGCTCCGGGCGGCCGTATAAAAATTAGTTACATGCCTCGACACGCCGACCGGTAATACATGGCAATTTGGAGCACATTTAATGTGTGCACCGATCCTATTTTATTGTCGCGCTATCGCGATATCGTGTCATTCGTCGAAACGATAACGCATCATTGTACAGTATCCATCAACTGCCGCCAGTGTGCAGCACTGCAGCAGTCAAATCAACTAATAACTACTATAATATCCATAGACTTATTATTATTATTATTATATGTTATACATGTTTTTATATGTTTATACAAAAAAAAGACAGACGTATAGATTTAGTTTTTAAAAATGTAACTGATTAATTTCATATAATAATAATTGTAATTTGTTGTAATTGTATAGCTCTAGCCTCTAATAATAAATTATAATGTGTTTATATTCATACATAATAAGTTAATAATAAGAAGTTGATAATTTTTTATAATTTCATTTATATTTTAATGGGGTAAAATGCTTAAAAAAATTTAATTTAGATAAGATAAGTAGGTACATTATTTTGGTATTATTCGTGGTATGTACCTATACCAAAATAAATTTTTTTACCATCTAACATAGATATCTTATACATTTTTTGTGCACCACTTTACGTGAACCTCACGAGCCGCCACTGATTTTACCCCATTAAAATATAAATGAAATTATAAAAAATTATCAACTTCTTATTATTAACTTATTATGTATGAATATAAACACATTATAATTTATTATTAGAGGCTAGAGCTATACAATTACAACAAATTACAATTATTATTATATGAAATTA